TGAACTACGATCAATGGCACTGCTAACAAATTGTTCTGGTGTTGGAGAAAATAATGATGATTTACGAATGCCTGATAATTTACTAACAACAAAACCTGGACATAATGATTGAACTAATACACCACGTGATGCACATTCAGCAGCTAATGATCTACATTAGAAAAAATGGATTAACAAAATCAATTTTGTTTTTCAACATTTAACTAACCGTGAAAATAAATCAACAAATCCTTTTGTGCCTGAATAAAGCGCTAATAATGGTACTGGTCGTCGACCCGAAACACTTGATAAATTAACAATAAGACCTCGTCGTTTTTGAAGCATATCTATATATATGTAATAAAAAACAAATTTATTATAATTATTTTAATGTAAAAATAATATATAGACCTGGTAAAATCATTTGTGTTAAATAAGCAACTGAATCAACATTACATCTAATCATATCGTTGACAAGTTTTGCACTATTTTCAACTTTATCAAAAAATTCTGGATATTCATAAGACATTCCAACATTATTTACTAAAACACCAATATCCAAACCACGAATATTTTCATGAATTGTTGCATAGATTGAATTGTCTTCTAGATAAATTTAAAAAACAACAATCATTTATTGATTTTTTTTTGGTAAAATCCATATGTTTTTGTTCTTATCTAAATCTTTTTTTTTCATGCGAATCTTTAATACAAATGATTCTTATCTAAGTATCCGATTCTATTTAAATAAATAATCTTACTTGTAAAATCAATAGCAATTGTTTTAACTTCTACGGCTGAATTTTTACTTTGAACTTCTTTTGCTACTTGTTCTAATTTATCTTTTGTTCGACTAATTAAAACTATATTAAGACCTAATAAATAATATTAATTAATTTATATATATATCTTTTTTTTAAATTAACTTTTCTACCTCGTTTAGCCAATTCAATTGCATATGCTCTACCAATTCCATCTGTACTACCAGTAACCAATGCCCATTCACCAAATTTTTTTATATCAAGTCTAACTGGACATAAAAGTCGATAAAGAAAAGCAGCAAGACGTGCTGCAACATAAACAAGTGCAAATGCTCCAGTTGTTGCTAAAAAACCCATTATCAAATTTTAGTAGTAGCTTTTTTTTTTCTTCTCTACTTATTCAATGAATAATAATGAACAAGTTAAAAAAAAAAAAAATATTTGTTGTTATGAACTTTAAACCAATGAAGTTAAGTCTATCCATAGAATATTTTCTGGATGAATAATAGAAGAAAGAAAGAACGTATTGTGTTTGTTCGTTTTGTATTTGCTCTTGTGCATATACACATAGTATACATATTGTGTCAAATATCTACGATAAATTTAATATCATGGCTGATTATCTTGCATCAATATTTGGTACAGAAAAAGATAAAGTTAATTGTTCATTTTTCTTTAAAATTGGTGCATGTCGACATGGTGAACATTGTTCAAAATTACATAATAAACCAACATTTAGTCAAACAATATTATTAAAAAATCTTTATTTAAGTTTAGAAAATAGTTCACAAAAAGCAGATAAATCATTTATTGCTGATGAAATTACGGAAGAACGTATACAAGAACATTTTGATGATACATTTGAAGAATTATTTATTGAATTAGAAAGAAAATATGGTGAAATTGAAGAAATGAATATTTGTGATAATTTATCTGAACATTTAGCGGGTAAAATTTATTTTGATTTATCCATAAAAAATATCCTTACTTTTTTTTTTTTTTTTTTTTTTTTACAAGGTAATTGTTATGTTAAATTTCATGCTGAAGCAGATGCTGAAAAAGCTGTTGTTGATCTTAACAATCGTTGGTTTGATGGACGTGCTGTTTATGCTGAATTAAGTCCTGTAACTGATTTTCATGAAGCATGTTGTCGACAATATCAAATGGGGTATGAATTTAGTACAATCTTATATTAAATCATATCAATATTCCCTTTCCTCGACTTAGTCTATATAATATTTTTAAGAAATTCATATATAAACAAAATATGATTGTCTTTATTAAAAATAAAATAGACTAGTGACAATTATACAAAAGTTTGAACTCGATAGTATATCAATATATATTGAAAACCAATCAAAATCGAGAAAAATAAATTTTCACTCTTATCAATAGTCTATCGGGTTGGTTGAAAAATTTCATGTTGACCCTCTCGGTCACATAGGGACCATTGGATAATCAACCTTCAGACTATTTGACACCTGTTATCAGTACAGTAAAAAGCCGAATAGAATAATTAATCTTTGAAGGGTTTATAAAAGTTTGATGAAGAATTTATGAGGCTAATAAGCCCTTCTCGTAGGGTTTATTATTCTGCAGATTACTTTATAGTAAACTATTTATATCAGAATAAAATTTAGTCGCAAACTGTATACAGTACTGTTCTTAGCTATTTCGACGATTGTAATCATCGCCCTGAGGGGGGGGGGGGGGTCCTGGTCTAATCCAACGGGTTATACTCTATTATAAGATTGTCGAAGAAAAATCGCCAGATACTTGGAAAAATATGTTATCCATCTTTGGAATAATTATCAGACTTAGACTAAGAAATTTCGTTGAAACTGTAAAAAAATGTTATAAGTCCAAAAACATTGTAACCTTTAAATAACTATTTATATTATATATTATTGATTAATAATTGATATGAAAACAGAATAATAGTTTTATAATCGAAGAATATAATTTGATTGAAACTGTAGAAGGCTTACTCATATGATAAACAAATATAATGAAATATAATATTTTTCTTTTATTTATAACTTTCTTAATAGTTAATGTCGTAGATATTATATTTATTCTTCTAATTTTTTTTTTTTTTTTGTTTATTAGTGATTGTCCACGAGGTGGTTTCTGTAATTTTATGCATTTGAAACCTGTAAGTAAAATAAATTCTTTTTTGTTAATTAAATAATTTGACTTGTTTTTTTTTTTTGTTGTATTTGAAGATTTCAAAAGATTTAAGAAAACGTTTATATCAACGACGTCAACGTAAAACTCATAGTGATTCACGATCACCATCTCGTGATCGTTCACGATCACGTGAAAAAGATCGTCGACGATAAATAACAAAACAAAGAACAAATCAATAAATATATAAACTTTTGTTTTTGTGTTTTAATAAATTGAACGAAAACAAAAAAACATAAAAAAAAAAATAAATTTTTGTTGTCTATTCTAGATAATGAATGAAAATAATTCCAATATGAATGGTGATATTGATCGATGGATTGAGTGGATAAAAGATTGCAAATATTTACCTGAAACTGATTTTAAACAATTATGTACAATAATATCAGATATTTTTTTTGAAGAATCCAATGTTCAACCAGTTTTTTCACCAGTAACTATATGTGGTGATTTACATGGACAATATTATGATGTACAAGAATTATTTCGTACAGGTGGTTATCCACCTGATACACAATATATTTTTATGGGTGATTTTGTTGATCGAGGTTATTATAGTTTAGAAACTTTAACACAATTACTTGTTTTTAAAGCTAAATGGCCCGATCGTGTAACATTATTACGTGGTAATCATGAATCAAGACAAGTAACACAAGTTTATGGTTTTTATGATGAATGTATGAAAAAATATGGAAATGCTAATTTATGGAGATTTTGTTGTCGTTTATTTGATCTAATGCCAATTGGTGCATTGATTGATAATGAAGTTTTATGTATCCATGGTTAGTTAATTATTATTATTATTATATATTTAAAGAGAAAACAATGCTGTTCTTTTTTTTAATTTTTATTTAGGAGGTCTTTCGCCAGATATTGGTACAATTGATCAAATGCGTACAATTGAACGTGATCAAGAAATTCCACATCGTGGTGGTTTTTGTGATTTAATGTGGTCTGATCCAGATGATATTGATTGGTGGGCTATATCACCACGTGGAGCTGGATGGTTATTTGGAGAAAAGCCAACAAATCAATTTATGCATAATAATCAATTAAGTTTAATATGCCGTGCTCATCAACTTGTTCAAGAAGGTTAGTAATTATATGTTTTCTACAAATATTTTAAATGATAATTCTATCATCAGCTAGTAAAGTCGTGTTAAAAATAATCATCAAAAAGAAAAACACCTACAGTATTGTTATTAATTTTTATCTGATTTTTAGTTGAATGTATTTGCCTTCTTTTTTTTTTCAATCGAAATACCAAACACGTACAATAAATGTATATCTTCATTTTTCTATTTTTTTTAGTCTCTTATCAGACTTAATTGTTTTTGTTTATTGTATAGATAAAAAAAAGAAATGTATTCTATTTTAATTTCTTAAAACAGAAATATGAAATCTTATATTTTTCTTTAATCGTTTCTTATTTTTTTTCTTCATACAAAATAAAGGTAGGCAAATACAATCAAATGAAAGAATAATAGATCAGATATATTAGCAATGGATTGAATATGATTTTTCCTAATATGATAATATAAAATCAACAGAAAAATAATTTAAAGATTTCAAACACATAAGAAAAAGAAGAAGAAAAAAAAAAGATTGATGATGAAAATTTCTTTTTCTCCACGTTTAGTTTCTTCACATGAATGAATATCTATATTTCTCATGGGACACATTAGCATTAATAGTCGAGATTATTCGTATATTTCTATTTTTTGTTTTCTAGGGATTAAATTTATGTTCGATGAGCATCTTGTAACGGTATGGTCTGCACCAAATTATTGTTATCGGTGTGGTAATATAGCTGCTATACTTGCTTTTCATACAGCAACAAATCATGAAACAAAATTATTTAATGCTGTACCCGATAATGAACGGGTTATACCAGCTAAAACAACGACACCGTATTTTCTTTAATAAAAAAATAAAAATAAAAATAAATTCAAGAAATTTTATTTCAATTGTCTCGTTTTTTTTTTCCTTTATACCAACAGTGTTACTTTGTGTATAGAAAAAAAGTATTTCTTTTTCTTCTAGATTTTTTTTTTGTCATATGCATTTTTAAATATGGATGCAGAAGATGAACAAAGTAATTGTATAACATTAAAAAAAAAAAATAAAGAATTAAGTATTTTTATTCTATTCATTAAATTTTTTTGTTAAGGTCTCGAAGAACGTCTTCGTGCGCAGAATACTAATAATACTAATACTAATAACAATAATAATAATAATAACAATACAAATAAACCTTTAACAACTCGTGTAACAACATCAACTGTTAAATCCAATCGACATACATTTAAAGATGAAAAAATTGAATCTCACACTGATAAAAATGGTGTTTCTTACCGAGTCGGAGGTAAGAAATAATTGAAATTTTGATAAATCAATTTTTTTGTTTTTTTCTATTATTATTTTTATTTAGATCATGTTTATTTGGAAACAAATAAACAAGCTGAACCATATTCAATAGCTTGTATACTTGATTTTCGTTTAGTATGTTAAATAATCATTAATCATATATCAAAATATTATTTTCTATTTTCTATAATCTAGACAAGAAAAGATCATGTTATGCTCGAAGTACGTTGGTATTATCGACCTGCTGAAATTCCACCTAATCTTTATCATCTTCTTATTGAAGATCGTTATCATGAAAATCGTAAGTTTTACCTGTAAATTATTTATTTATTCAATATAATTCTATATTGCTTTTTCTTTCTTTTTTTTTTTTTTTTGTTTCTCAGTTCTTTTCCTATATACTATAATGCCAGTAGTGATGGCAGCGTCAGTCAATGTCTATATAAATCATTGTATAATGTATATAGTAAAATGTCATTCTTTCTTGCTCTATCGTTCTTTTATATGAGGCGGGTTAAAGAACATATATGCTAGTAGCAGAAAAAAACAAGCTAGACAAATGCGCACAATTGATAATCATCAACATCGGGTATTATCTCTATCGAATAAGAATCAAATTCAAGCTAATAATTAAACAGTAATAGAACCAATTAGTAGTCAATATGTGTATGTCTGTATTTAATCTATAAAATTTTTCATTCAAACCATTGTTTGCATTATATCAATTCATTCATTTTTTTCTTTTTTGTACCCAAGAGAAAGAAAGAAAAAAAGAAATACCGAATGTTATTACTATTCATCATCATCCAATACATATCATCAATAAGTATTGAGAAAAGAAAGTCGATGTATAATAATACATATATAAACACATTCTTCATATCTTCGTCAAAGAAACAATGTGTATATATGTTCTATGACGTGTATTATTACAAACGATTACTGGTTTTAAAGAAAAACTGTCATAGTTAGTGAAGTCAATTATTCTCTTGCATTCTTATATTTTTTTATCTGCATTTCTTCCATTTTTGTTTTTCATTACTTCATTTCTTCCGTTTTTTTTTTCTGCTCTTTCAATGTTTTTTTTTTTTTTTGTTGTGTTGCTTATACTGGATTGACAGATTATCTATGAGACAATAGATGTCAATCCGATTCATTTGGATGTAATTTGACTATGAATAGCTAAACAAAAATAATCATTGTAATAATAAAACGTTTTTCTTTTTCTTATTCTTCACATTCGATTAAAAGTTTAAATCGTCATCTATTTATATATATAAAGGAGCACATAAGGGTGTATGTTGATTGTTTGTTGCTCTTCTCGCCATTATGTGTTTGCCACACACACACACACACACATACACGCTTGCGTCGAGTAGTTTGTCGTCGTTGTCGCTTTTCTTTTTTCTGTCTCTCAACAGGAGCTCCTGCTTACTCTCTTTAGCTGCCGGAGGGACAAATAGAAGAACAATATCACATCATTGTCGGCGACAACGATGTTGTATATGGTGTCGTGTGTCGTTTTTCTTTTTCTTATTTTCCATTTGTGATTGATTTTTTTCTTTACTTCACTCATTCGTATATACATACATACTTAAGCGTACACACTATTACAGGTGAGTAAAGAAAAGTAATGTCATCATCATCATCATCATCATCGCCATCATCATCATCACCGTCATCATCATTATTATTATTATTATTATTATTATTATTATTCTTTTTTTTTTTTTTTTTTATTGTTTGACATAAGTCGATATAATTAGTCGTGGATATAGCACATAGTCAACTATCATTAAAATTCAATTCTGTTCAATGATACATATAAAGAAAAAGAGATAAGAATGTTACTACTACTATTACTATTACTACTATTGACGAGTGGTATTGATCGGCATGTGTGGAGAGATTTCCTCTTTTTTTTTTCTCTCGACATATTGACGTCTAGTACTCATTGGTGATGGTAGTGTAGAGAATTTCTTTCTTCTTTCTTCATGCTCACCCTTCGTTCTTCGTTTTCTTCTTCAATTACATACTCCCTATTTTACTTCTCCTCTCTCACGATATGTGTGTGTGTGTGTGTGTGTATGTGTATGTGCGCATTTGCATTGAGACTAGGCACATAGCCACTGTCAAATTATTGTTAGAGTGTATATAATTCATCGACGAAGAACGATGAGAGTCCAAAGAGAAGGAGAAAGAGAGTACATGAGAGGATAGAAAGGAGATAGCGCGTGAAAATGAGCGACGACCGACACAGGACTCGACGAAATGCAGATGATAATCAGTCTAGTGTAATCATTGATCGGCGGGCGGGCGATGGTGGCAAGTCGTTCTTCTCTTTCTCTTCTCTCTCTCTCTCTCTCTCTCTCTTCACTCTAACAACAATAATAGAAATCCTTTTAAGTAGCAGCGCGCATGTAAGCAAAACGAAACACAAGCAAAATATCAAATTTTTCTTTTCTTCTTTTTTTTTGTGCTATTATAAGTACACATTACTTTCGCTCTCGTTTCGTTGTGTTATCATTGTCAATATATATATATATGTGTGTCTTCTTTATCATCATCATCATCATCATCGTTTTTTTTTTGATTTATAATCAAATGCATATGATACTAAGTTTGTGTAATCATCATTATTCACTTCTTCGTTTTTCATAATCAAAGTCTTATTGAAAGAAAAGAAACATTTATAAATCCAACTTATTTGTTACATTTTTTGTTCTTTTGTGCTGTTGGTTATTTGACAATAACAACATCAATTACAACAAACGCGTCATCACCACATCAATTAAGAAATGTAGAAAGAAAGAAAAAAAAAAAAAAAAAAGAAAAGAAAAAAAAAGAAACATAAATAAAAAAGAGTCTTTTTCAGGTATTCATATTTTATGTCACTATATGGTATGCGTATGCTTATATACGGGTTCATCGAGCCGAACAAACAGAAACATATCCGATACCATAAGTGATTGATTAATCGGATCAACTGACTTTTTTTCTCGTTCTGTATATATTTATTATATGTTCGCATCCTTCTTAATCGAGGTATCTGTTGTAGTTTTTTTTTTTTTCTTTTTCTACAAAGGACCTTTTGTTCTATTCATTTATCAGAAGCAAAACATTTAAATCAAACATACATATATAAATATATATATATGTATCTACATGTATTCACACCCTGTTTTATCATTAAACAACAAATGATCGAGGATTGTATGTATTAGAATATAGTAGTGGCTCATGTCACAGTAATAAATAATATAATGTCTATAATATATCTATATCTCAACCAACCCGATGACGAGCGATGAATTGTTGCTGTGTGCATCGTCTGTTGTTTTCTTTTCCTTCCTCTTCAACGAACATTAGCATTGCGCGTTCGTGAGACGCTGTCGTGCAGCAAAAGGAATGAGAGCGCGCGAGCACACACACATATAGAGAAAAGAGAGAGAGAGAGAAGGACCGTGACACGACGCCGGTTTGTTCCTTATTAAGGTGACACTAGCAACAACGAGCTTTCTCTCTCTCTCTCTCTATGTATGCTATTCTTTCTTTCTCTTCATCGTCTCTGTGTGTCCATTATGATTCGCGTTGATCTATTCACTTTCTTTTCACACTTAACATGCACATTTTGCATCATATACTTCATATATAAACGAAGGTAATTCATAAAGACTAAATGAAGAAGAATTATTACTTAAAATAAGCAACAAATTATCGATTTCATTTGTTTTCTTGTTGATATGTATATTATTTATTATGATTATATCTATCAGCATTATTTTTCTCTTTTCTTTTTTATTTTGCTACGACTATTTGTCTTATCGCACTTGGCAAGTTGATCCTTTCTCTTCATATATATATATATATGTGTGTGTGTGTGCATGTTATAATTTCTGGTTAATGACATATACAGTAGAACGGCAACGACAACTCGCGCGTCCTGCTAGCATTAATTGTTGTGTTTCAATATATATATATATATATAGATGTATATATGTTATATACCGCTTTTAATTCATCGTCGAATTGTGAGTTGAGTAAAGAATAGAAGTTGAACACTCATCTCAAGAGATCGGTCAAATGGGCGTGTCGACACGCGATCTTACATATTCTTTTTTTAATTTCTTTTTTTTTTCTTTTCTATACTTGTTCATTTTATTCTTTGATATAGATTCTTCGATTTTCTTTTTCAATTGATTGATCAGAATAACTTTTAAATGTCAATAATCTACACCTGATAAGCTGTCGTGCCGTGCTTCAGCTAACAGAAGGATGATTGATTAGTTTCAAGGACCGAGGCGAGCTCTCTCGTCTTCTTTTCTTTTCCTTTCCTTTTTTTTTGCTGTTTCTTTCTCTATCGACTCGTTTCTCATTCTCTGCTTCATCCTACATCCTCACACTGCCTTTTTGATTCTGTATATTGTGTGTGTGTGTATGTGTGCAAGAAATAAGAGAGCGCGAATAAGCAAGCAGAGTAGTCGTTGTCGTCGTCGACATCATTTCCGTTCATTCATCTAAAAGAAAACTAAATTACTTGATGCTTTTTGTTGTTTTTTATGTATAGAAAAAGAAAACGGTATATCTATAAATATAAATATATAAATAAATATATTGATTAATATGTTTTATTTTGTTTCTTAAAGAGGGTAACAATCAAACATCATCAATTAAAGATAAACAAACGAAAGATTCTGGTATAATACAAGATCCAAATATTATTGGTCGTGAATTATTCGTATCGGAAATCAAAGAATTCTATCCGGCCGTACACATTAAGTAAGAAGAACATTTAAAACCTTATTGACTTGAATAAAGAATAGAACAAAAAAAAAAAACGAGAAAAAGAAGCAAAAAAAATGACGACCGACAACTGTAATCTCTTGACAAGGAAAAGAGAACAAAGAATATGTAGTTATTGCGTACACACAGATTTATAAATAAATAAATATATATATATATAAAGATTTGTTTTGTCTATCTAAACATGTTTTTTAATTTAATTCAGAGGTCGGTGCCGTGTTGCTCATTATCAAGATATTGAAGAAGCTCGTGCATTTAAACCTGATCCGGATACATTCTTTTATATATTAACATACAATCCTGAAGCGCGCAGACTGGCGAACACGCAAGGTGAAATTCGTGTTGGCCCATCACATCAAGCCAAATTGCCACTTTTGAAATCATATTCATCATCATCATTAACAAACGGTATTAATGATGAATTATGTTCATTACGTGAAGAATTATTATGGAAAAATAAAACATCCGATATTGATTTATCCATGTATTTACAAGCAGCACGATCAATTGCAGCATTTGCTGGTATGTGTGATAGAGGTTTACCAGAAGATATGTATGAAGTAGCACAACGAGATGATACAACAATAAATGCATTAACTGTTTTACATAATCATGATTATGATTGTAAACGTGCTATACAAGCACTTGTTAAATGTCCAATACCAAAAGGTATTGATAGAAAATGGTCAGATGATGATCAAAAAAAATTTATTAAAGGTTTAAGACAATATGGAAAAAATTTTTATCGTATACGTAAAGAACATTTACCACATAAAGAAACTTCTGATTTAGTAGAATTTTATTATTTATGGAAAAAAACTCCTCAAGCACAATCAAGTCGTCCACGTCGTCGACAACGTCCATGTTCAACATCAGCTAATTTATCAACAACACCAACACCAGCTAAACAACGTAATACAAAAACAAATAATAAAGATGAATCCGAACATAATTCTGATAATGATGATAATACAACAACAACAGATACAGATGAACAATTTTGTCGTCATTGTCAAACAATATCAAAAGATTTACAACCAGGTGGACGTGATAGTCAACAATTATGTTATGATTGTAGAATGTATTATAAAAAATATGGTGAAATGCCTATTATAAATCAAGAACCACCACCATATTTATTTAAACCATTAAATGAAACAAGTCCAAGTAGTAGTAGTAAAAGAAAACGTAATAAATTTAAACAATCATCATCACCACCACCACCACCACAACTACCATCATCATCATCATCATCATCCTCATTACCTCCATCATCAACATCAACATCAACAGTTGAAAAATCTGATGAAAATAATTCATCAATAAAAACATCATCGACACGTTCAAAAAAGAAAACTCGTATTAATGAACAAATATCATCAATAAAACAAGAAACAGGAGAAGAAGAAGAAAATATAAAAGATGAACCAACAATAAATACTGGAATTAAAATAGAAGAACAAGAAAATGAAAAACCCTTAATAGGTATATATATATATATGCATATTATCTCTTTTTGTAAATCAAGACAAAAAATTTTCCATAAGAAAATTTTCATATAAATGTTATTAGCAATGTGTAGTTTCAATAAATTGTTCATCGAAAACTCAGGCTAACTACATTGGATCGATGTTTTCTGATTTATCTAACATATTCTTTCTGCAATAAATGAATTTTTCGACAGACCGTCAAGAAGTTCTTCCTACGGATACAAATTTGGAACCATTTTTTTGGGGGGGTTTCGTAAAAAAAAGCGCAACATGTTCTTTATGGCATAGATCTTTCAAAATATTTTATGCTTTTCTTACGGAACTTTTTTGGGTTTGATGTGAAACCAAAAAAGGTTCCAAGTTTGCATTCATACGAACAATTTTTTTAGATTCCATAGTAGAAAACTTATTTTAGAGTAGGTCAATACTTTAGTGAACACCGATTCACTGTGTCAGTAGTTTTATCAAGAGTGTACATTGATAAATATTATTTTTGTTTTTAACTTTTAGAATCTTCAGATACAATACCTACGACAACATCATCAGGTTTTCTAATTAAAACTGAAGAATTATCATCATCAACACTATCTCAACCATTACCACCATTAATAACTAATCCGACAGCATGTAAACAAGAAATAAATTCTCCATCATCAATTTTATCAACTGGTGCTGCAAAAATAACAAATAAAATTCTTATTGATCATACAAAACAAACAAATTCAAATTTTATTTTATCTCCATCATCAACAATTAAATCTGAACCAATAAATATAAATGAAAATTCATCAACATTTCATTCAAATTTATTACAATCATCATTATTATCTTCACCTCGTTCAGCATTTTCACGTACATCAAAAACATCATCTATTCATAGTCCTGATCAACGTCGAATACCTAAAGGTATATAAAATACATGATTTTTTATTGAATTAAATGAAAAAAAATAAAAATCTTTTTTCATATTTACTATTATAGATGAAGAATTGGATTCTCCATTATCATATCGATCACAGTCACATTCAAATAGTCTTAATCATACACCAAAATCAACTCCAATTCATCCAACAATTCTTAGTGGTGATGTAACTCCATCATCTCTTTGTTTACCACCACCAACATCAATACCACCACCACCACCACTTCTTATTCAATCATCATTAAATGAATCAAAAGATAATGATTCATTAACAAACGATATTACTGATGATGGAAATATATCAGATAGTTCAATGAGTGGTAATCATGAAATCATTGCTGATGAAGGACCAGCACCGTTAACATGTGAAAGAGGTTAAAAAAAAAACTAAATTCTTTTACAAAGAAAATATTTACAAAAAAACGTCTATTTCTTATTTGTAGAATGCTATAATAAATCTCAAGGAATTGTTTTATTACAAGTTTACGATCGTTCAGTATCACAAAATTCTTGTGCACGTACCGATATAATACTTAAACGTGGTTCACGTATACGTCAGAAACAGCAACAACAACAAGCATCATCAAATAATAATGAACAACAACAACAACAACAACAACAGCAAGAAATACCACAAATGTCTTCATTACCATCAGTACCACCATCTGCAGCTATGATGATGGGAGTTAAACAAGAAGTTGGGAATTTATCTGTATGTCTATACAAGAAAAGAAAAAAAAGACAAACTCTTTATTATCATTTTTTAAATTTCTTTTTAGAAATTATCCTTTTCGTTGGATAAAGGACCACCATTACTTCATACACCTGGTCCACCACCACCATTTCCAACACTTAATCCTCATCATGATGCACTATTAATGAATCGTAATAGTTTATTTCATCCATTACCATTACATGCTCTACCCACTGGACCAAAACCACCTGGAACTGGTACGACTGGACCACCACCATTAAATTTTCCTTCACCATTCGGTCCATCATTACATGATAATGCTGCTGCATTACGTCATCTTGATCCATTAGGTTTTCGTTTAATGAATCCTGCAGCAGCTGCTGCCGCTGCTCAATTATTTGCTGCTCAAACACATTATAATTCTAATGTCGGACGTCCAAATCCTGGTGGTTTTGATCCTACGGCTTTTTTACTTGATCCTCGTTACCGTAGTATGATTTCACCATTTGGTACTCCATCTCCTTCATCAGCTGTATTGCCGTCACCATCAAATAATACATCAGCATCCTCTAACTCTGTTTCAAATAACACACATAACCATTCTCATATTCATTCTCATTCACATACACATCTTCATTTGGGTAACACCAATGATTCATCATCATCATCAAACAATTCAAATGGACCTACAATACCACCACCGCCGCCACCATCAATGATGCCATTTGGTAATCCTCTTTCCAGTAAATTTTTCTTTTTTTTTTTCTTCTTTTCTAATAAATTTGATTATTATGTTTATATAATAATAGGTCTATCTCATGGTGGACCATTATTACATCCAGCTGGTCCACCACCTCCATCATCATTGTCAAGTCTTGAAGCAATGCATAATCTATCACGTGAACGTGACTTAATGGCATTTATGATAGCTAATGGTGCACGACTTGATCCAATGGCATTTGCACTTGCTGGTAATCCACTTCAGGTATAATTATTATTCTTTATTTAATGAAAAGAAGAAAAAAAAAAAAGAGGATAATTATCTTATTTAATTATAGATGCCACGTCATGAAGATCTCTCTCGATTAAATGCACGAGAACGATCAATCCGTGAACATAATGAAAATGAATTTCGTCGTTTCAACTTAGATGTTGAAAGACAACAACAACTTCGATTTCCATTTCATCATTAACCTGATCAATTACTTCAGTAAATAGAAAAAAAAAATACCTTTTTTTTCCTATTGAAATTTGATCTTGTTAAAGAAATTTATTTTTTTTAGACGATTCTAAATAATTACCTATATGGTATATTCCGACAGTGAAACACAATAGAAAACAAACTCGTCTCAAGATTTAAAGAAAAAAGAAATTTCAAAAGATATCTATTATCTAATCATTTCTATTATTCATTATGTAGATTAGTTTGCTTCTTCCGTTTATTATTAAAAAACATTAACAAAAAGACACACTTATCCTTTTGTACTCGGTGCTTTTCGCCGTTTTTCTCCTTGTCATATTTTGTTTATAAAATGTACAAACGATATCATTTTCTCTTTTGTTTTTTCTCTCTCTTGTACTTGTTGTGCTAGTTTGTTGTGTTGGTCTGTTTTGTTTTCTTTTTTTTTCTCTCATTCTCTTTTTGAAAAGTATTTTGTTTGAATGAAACAAAGAAATTCTTATACTCATTATAATATACTTCATTATATAGAAGATCAGATAAAATTGCCTTTCTTTCAAATCCAAACACACACACACACACGCAAACGCAAAGATCATTTATTATTAAAAAAGACTAATTGTTGGTTGTTTTTGTGTTTTAGAAATCAAGGCATGTTGAAAACTCTGTTTAATAAAGAAGATTAGTTTTGCACATGTTTGTTGAAAAATATGTTCCTGCTAATAGATATAATGATAGATAAGATAAATATTTACTTAATTGTACAGAAAGAAAGATAAAGCATTAATGAAAACGTGCCAAAAAAGACCAAGGATAAATGATTGTCACGCAAGGATTATAACAATCTATTCTTTTTTTGCTTGTTTGTAGTTGTTACAAACGAGAATGTTGACATAATGACTATCTAGATTGTTTTAAATTATAAAAATTCTAATGAATGAAATGTTGTTCTTTTTGTCTTAGTTACGATTTTTTTGAATAAAGAATTTATTTTATTTAATAATTTTTTTTATGTAACCTTATTCGATGCAAACATCTAATACAAAATTAATAAAAAAATCCGAATTAAATCTTAATGATAGTGAATACAATCAAGATCGAAATTCATTACAAGATATAAATCAATTAACATGTTGTTTAAAAGATGCTATTTTTTCTAAATATATTTCTAATTATTTAATAGAAAAAATAGAAAAGGTAAACGATTTGATTAACCTTTTGAGTGTCATTAGTCGATCATGATAGCTAGAGACTTTTGAAGATATTGTTAAGAGCAACTGCTCATCTCTCAACAGGTTTCAGTCTCTTTTTCCTAGATGGTTCGTGATATATAAATATTTTTATTTCCTATACCATATAATGCTAATCATTTTTGACTCAAGAGATATGAAGACTTTTCTTTGTTTTACTAAATTATAGTCCTGACTCTTCGTTATCAACAATACGAGATTGAAGTGTTAACTATTAATAGCTTCTGAAATAGAACTTTTTTTTTGCGAATAGGCATTAATTTTCAAGTTTGTTGCTTTCTTATAAAAAAATAATTCAAAACTCACCGAAAGAATATTATTTTCACATAAAAATTGCTCGAGATACCCTAAAATGCCTTTCGATTATTTACACAAAGTATAAAGGTTAATTCATATATGATTCGAGGACTTCATTGACAATGAACATTCAATTATTGAAAGACAAGAGTGAGAAATCAAGGATTTCCCATTCTACCACATGTTCTATGGTTTATGACAGTCATAATCACGTAAAAATATAATAAATGAAATATAAGAACAAAATATCCACAGGTTAAATATTGTCAACAAGACTTCATACTGGGTCGAACTTGAAATCATTTCATTAATTTTACATCTTTTTCTTATTTCCTACTTATTTGCAAGCAAAAAGTGATATCATATTTGAAAACAGCCAACAAAACCACTTTGTTACTTTTCGATATTTCTCTTGTACTCGTGAGTGATGCAAAAATTAGGAAACTCTATAAAAGCATACTGATTCTTGTACGATAGTCTTCAAAGAATTTATCTAAAACAACAAAAGTAACTTGATTCTTAAATTCTCATTATTGAAGATGTGGTTGTTATACGAAAAACGTATTGATAAATTTCTTAAAGACAAACATCTTAATATAACTTGTAATGATATTCGCCCACAAGTGAGATTTTCATAATCATATTATGACAATTAACAAAATAATCTTCTTTTTTTTAAGGCAGCTATTAAACTTGAAGAATTAGTTAAATATGGACTAGAAAATATAGATGTATGTAAACGAGATATTGAAATTTTATGTTCTTCACGTAAACGATTACGTAATGATGATAAACATACAGTTCAACTACAATCAACTCATCGTTCACTAATTAGTTATAGTTCAATTCGTGTACCAAAAACACCACGATGTATTGATCGGTTAGAGTGTTTTTTCAAATCTTTTTTTTTTTTTTTTTTTTTTTTTATCTAAAAGAAAATAATTTATCTTGTTTAGTTCTGATGTAGCAAATGATACGTATAAAGATAATATCGATGAATTTGATGATTCAAGAACACATAAAATAATCAATCAAGAACTAACTGAAGCTTCTTTAAACTCATCTAATAATAATCTGCGTCATTGTATATTTCAACATGGTGAAATATTACCACTTGATCCAAATACAAAAACTCGAACAATAAGAATTACATATAACTGTAATAACTAGAATAAATAAATCACACAAAAAAAAAATGAATCTCCATTAAAGTTTACTTTACAAAATTGTCAAGGGTGTGTTTCTTTTCAATTCTATATAAAGTAAAGAACTGTTTTGCATATTGCTCTTGCCTCAAACATATGCGTAAAAAGAAAGTAAACAGAAAAATCAATCTCATTTTTCAATCAATGATCTAATGTCAGCATGAGAACTTACGAAGGGTGCTTATAAACGCAATAACTCGACAACAGCAATAGCTAGCTACATGTGATTTTCACCTATCAAAAACAAAAATGAGACCTCGGAATGTATTTTTTTTCTGATACCTATATAAGACAAAATTATTATAAAGGTTATTATTTTCGCAAAATGCATGAAAACTGTATTTTATGACGTGCTTTAGACAGACAGAATTTAAATCTATAGTCCAAGGAACAATTCAAGCGATCATATTCTCATAATTCAATATTGAGCAAACAAGATCGAGTAGTCATTCTGCCCAAGTATATATATACTCGGCGTTTCAGAATCAATGATTGTGTCTTAACTTTCAGTATTTCACTTTACCCTCTCAGTCATTTCTCCTTCTATTTTCTTTGATCAAATGATGCACTACAAAATACTCTACAAAATGGAATACACCAGTTAACTACTATAGCTTTCATTATTTGATAAAAGCCTAGAAAAGTGTTTTTAAAAATTAGTACAAATTTCTAAAAGAGCTCTCGGATGTCATGTTTCGTATAACGAAAATTCATGAATTAGTGATTTTTAATCAAATTTTTAGACGAATTTATTTTAAATAAACTAGGCTTGACAGTTTCTATGAGATAATTTTGTTGGTTCACTGTCTTTGAGCATTAGATTGGTTCAAATAATTAGTTAAAAATCGCTAATTCATGAATTCTTCTTCATATAAAACATTACATCCAAAAGCTATTTTAGAAACTCGAACTAGTTTTAAAAAACACTTCTCTAGGCTTTTATCAAATAATGAAAACTATAATAATTAGTAAAGTAAAATAGACAATATAAACATACCATCGTTTTAATTGGACCATGTAGTAATTGCTGTTGATTTTTGGCAAGTTTGTTAACTTTTTATCGAAATTTCCTTGAAACAGAACATTGTTTTCATGCATTTTTAAAATGTTTTGCAAAAAAGATAGATTTTACAAAAGTTTTATTTTTTTCAGTATCAGACAAAAAAAAAAAGATCCGGTGTTCTCCTTTTTTGATTGCTAAAACTCACAGATTGCTAGCTATTATCATTGTCGAATTATTGAGCTTACACACACCCTACTTTAATTCTAACGTGGGTATTAGTCATAATTATTGCAAAAATGGTGAACAAAAAATTGATGATTTTATGCAAAATTTCATCAGATGTTTTTGTGAAATTCGTTCATATTTCAAAGAAAATAGTAACTGTAAGTTAAATTTGGAATTTTTTGTATTTATTAAACGAAGGCAATAGACCGCAGATATTTTTTTCAGAGCTCTTTAACAACGAAAAAAAGGCACTGAACGATATTAACAGCAAGACTTCAACTGGTACAGAATATTCCAAATGTTTCCTGGAGATTTCACTGACTGGAATACGCTTGTGATTGTTTTATTTAATGCAGTTTTTGATTTTTCGTGCAGACAAAAATTTTTAATTAAAATGTCAAGGATAATAGATAACCATGCATATATTCGACGCAGTTGTCATATGATTAATATCAAAATGCGTGACTTGATCAAATTATAACCTTGAAAAATAATCAAATATCACTCTTTCTCAGGTTATCCAAATAAAAAAATAGTGCGTTGAGATGTATTGTAGATACAATATATATGTACAACAGGCTTATTTGCCAATATTTAGAATAATAATAATGTTAAATTAAGAAAAACTAGGAACAAAGAAAAGAAAAACAAATTGCTTTTCGAAATACAAGACAGATGTTTCTCTGACAACCGATTGTCTTCAGAAAACAGCTATAGTCTACCAGAGATGGTTTACTAAACGTATTTTATATTAGCCTAACGAAATTAAAGAACGCACAAATTTCACATTCTAACACTGAATAGATTGTACTGATAAGTTATTTAAAACTTTTTACGATATATTGAGTAGTGTTTATTTACTAGAAAATTTCTTATAATATATTTTCATCAGATTATTTCCAGACAACTTTATTCAAAAACATAAAATGATTATACAAAAAAAAAAAAAAAAAAAAGAAAAGAAAAAGAAAACACAACAATAGAATACATCAATTGAATATGAATTATTTACAAATTATTTAGTCATTATTCA